CATATTAATAAAAAGTGTGCTGTACTTGGCCCTTACCCCCCCCCCCCTTCTCCAACCATTATATATACGGAGTGGTAGCTCCTGCAATCTCTCATTTACTTGATACAGCTGTCGTGGCTGTGACGGTTCCACCTGAAGACGGAAGCTTGTGTTGCCTCCGAGACGTCGTGATTTTTATTTTATTTTACTTTTATTAATTTTAATGGTTTACCTACGTGACTTTACCGAAAAAACCTAAGAATATGAATCCTTGCAGTCACGAAAGCTTCAAATCTAGAATTGGTGAAGTATGGTCAAACAACTCCCATGACTCACAGTCCATGGGGAGCCATGATTAATGATTGACACAACTGTTGAGAAACAACATTCATTTTACGATCAACAGTGCAACATACCATCCTCCGGTTGCTCTTTAACCATAAACCCCACCGCGAGCATCGAGCCCTGTCATGAAAATTCCACCGCCGAGCATTGTCCACAAATAATCGTGCGTACGTATACGTATGTTGAACTTCTTTCGCGCCGTACGTAGCCAACCGCGCCCGACCTCGCGATGTCATCCCGGCTTTTGGCGTGGCTATCGGTGCCACGCCACGCGAGACGAAGACTCCAAGCGGATCGCTCGCAGGGCAACGCAATGCTCCGTGTTGGAGAGCACGGCCCATGGGAGTGGACACGGTCCACACAGCGGGCTGAGTAGAGAGCGGTGGCCTTCACTCATTCTCAGAGTGGGGTGGGCCCACTTTCACCGACGCGGTCCACACGGCGGGCTGAGTAGAGAGTGGTGACCTTCACTCATTCTCAGAGCGGGGTGGGCCCACTTTCACCGACACGGTCCACACGGCGGGCTGAGTAGAGAGTGGTGACCTTCACTCATTCTCAGAGCGGGGTGGGCCCACTTTCACCGACACGGTCCACACGGCGGGCTGAGTAGAGAGCGGTGGCCTTCACTCATTCTCAGAGTGGGGTGGGCCCACTTTCACCGACGCGGTCCACACGGCGGGCTGAGTAGAGAGTGGTGACCTTCACTCATTCTCAGAGCGGGGTGGGCCCACTTTCACCGACACGGTCCACACAGCGAGCTGAGTAGAGAGTGGTGACCTTCACTCATTCTCAGAGCGGGTGGGCCCACTTTCACCGATGCAGTCCACACAGTGGGCTAAGTAGAGAGCGGTGGCCTTCACTCATTCTCAGAGTGGGTGGGCCCACTTTCCCCGATGCAGTCCACACAGCGGGCTGAGTAGAGAGCGGTGGCCTTCACTCATTCTCAGAGCGGGTGGGCCCACTTTCACCGACACGGTCCACACAGCGGGCTGAGTAGAGAGTGGTGACCTTCACTCATTCTCAGAGTAGGTGGGCCCACTTTCACCGACACGGTCCACACAGTGGGCTGTGTAGAGAGTGGTGGCCTTCACTCATTCTCAGAGCGGGTGGGCCCACTTTCACCGACACGGTCCACACAGCGGACTGAGTAGAGAGCGGTGGCCTTCACTCATTCTCAGAGGGGAGGAGGGTGCCACTTTCGCCGATAAGACATCATCAGTGCGAGGGCGCCGCCACACTCTTTGAAACCATTGGGGGTTTGTGACAGCAGCAGCAGCAGCATGATGATGATGATGATGGGGGGGCGGGGGATGTTCACTCTGTGTGTTTTGTCGGTTGCCGCATGTCAGGGGCCGCACTAAAGGCCACCAGAGGCTGCCAGTGGACCGCGGGGCCTTGCAATGCAGAGCACTGGTGTAGGAGGGTAGTACCTTCACGCCCGCTCTGCACGTACGTACGTGTGTTTGTCGAACTTCCATCGCGCCGTACGTAGCAAACACTGAGGTCTGCTGCCGTTCGCCACGACGAGGGGGCTTCAGCAGAGAGAGAGAGAGAGGAGATAGTTCGTGCATGACCACAATCGCACCGCCGTGGCCTTGACTTTCAATTTCCATTGGGTGGGGAGACGGTAGCTCTCTTGCAGAGGCCCTCACCTGTCACGGCGGCTTTCCGTGTTTCCTTAGACCAGGGGTCGGCAACCAAAATAACAAGAAGAGCCATTTCTTTCGCAATGCATCTGAGTACATACTGTACATACGTACATATCGTCAAGAAGCAGCCCGTAAAGAGCCGCATGCGGCTCTGGAGCCGTAGGTTGCCGACCCCTGCCTTAGACGCAACGGACGCCGTCATCGAGGTGAAATGGACGCACATTCATTTTTGGCCTACCCCATAGCAACACCGACTTTGAATACGTAGGAAGCGAATTCATCAATGCAGCTGGGCGAGAGGCTGCCCCATGCCTTGTCAGTCACGAGAAGACGGTCGGCATCCAAAATAACAAGAAGAGCTTCCATTTTTGCTTCGAATTCGGTATAAAAAAAAATAGAATATTTCAAGAGACGCAATGCATTGTGGGCGAGCCGCAGGTTTTGCCGACCCGTGGTCATGATGGTTGTTGCTTGAGCCGTTCCAAACAAGTGGGCGGATGTGATCGAGAGGAAATTATTGAGGATTCTTTTTGTTTTTGTTTTCACAAAGAAGGCTGTGAAATTGTGACCGAGGGCAAATAGAGCGAGACAAAATATTTGTGCAATGATTTTGCAAAATAAATCACGACAATTTGTTGGCTGAACAAAACTGATAAACACAACAGAACACACACACACACACTTATAGATGTGGACTTGCATCAGAGTGATGTATTAAATAGGGAAAGAATAAGATGTTTGTGATATTGAAAAACTGAAGTCGATCATAAAAAAAAAGTTCACAACCATGCTGCGAGAAAAATACTTGCAGTGAGTGTATATTACTTCCCGGGACACAGATGAGACGCACAGACTCTTGACATAGAACACGGAACGAACAATGAAAACTACACAAAGGCGTGCACGTTCACAATTACACCGAGAGACAGAGGAGGGAAGAGAAGAGGAGAAAAACAAGCGCCATGACCTCGCCAACTTCGCCTGTGCTCAGGTGAAGATGACGGTGTATAGAACGAGGAAAAAGATGCTGGAAGGTGACACTGACGGCTGCTCTGTGCTTCCAGTGTTCAGGGGCCTGCTCAAGGCGCGGCTCCGGCTGGAGCACGCGTACCACACACATGTCGGTGATGTGCGCATCTTCTTCAAACGCTAGGGAGCCGGACAAGCCCCTCTCTGTACCAGCGTGGACGGCACCCTCGTGTTCACCTTCTGAAGCGCTCGCTCGTCACCGTGGCGTGCGCGATGACCACCACCACCACGTGGCTTTTCCTTGTGTTGTGCCCGGTGCATTTAGCGCCACAGCGCGTGGATGTATAGCGTTTGTTTATTTGTTTGCTGGTGACTTTGTGTTTTTCGTATCGGAATCGCCTCCAGTGCTGTTGCTGCTTGCGGCAATAAAAGTTGTTTAAAAGTAAAAAAAAATCTCTCTCTCTCCCCGTGGTCGCGTGAATTTTTCTCCTGGTCCGCTGGGGTTTTCCCTCCGCATTTAGAAACAACGTCGCGCGTTTAGAGTATGTGGCCGCTAAACATTTCCACTTCGTTGGGCTATCATTAGTCGCCAGGTCGCTTCTTCAAAAATAACTATACAGCTCAGTGGGCGTTACCTGGTAAAATGAAAATATAATAGTTTATAGTTTTAGAAGTTCATCATCGTGGGGGAGCGGAGGCGACATCGTGGAGAAGTCTTCATCCAGCAGTGGATAGAGCGCGTTATTTATAAATGTGTCGTAACCCTCCACCACCCTACACGGCCAATCAGCAAAAAAGTGTCACGTTGACAAAAGACAAATAGTTCACTACTTTAGCCCACCGGTGTGTTGAAGAGTGAAACCACAACATTTACAATTTTTGAGTACGACGTTTCGCTGGTAATTGCATCAAGCATCATCGGGCAATTCTGGCATCCAGCGAAACGTCGTACTCAAAAACTATAAATGTTATGGTTTCGCTCTTCAACACACCGGTGGGCTAAAGTATTGAACTATTTGTCTTTTGTCAACGTGACACTTTTTTTGCTGATTGGCCGTATCGGGTGGTGGAGGGTTACGACACATTTATAAATAACGCGATCTAACCCACAAACGTTTATTATGAATAATATCGGTCGCGAAAGCCTCCCACGTGTTAAAGTGGATAGCGCGTTGATTGCTTTTTTGACCTAGGGTCCTGAGTACGGAGCGACTTGCGTAATTCTCGATAAGGCGTTTGCCCGGTAAAAGATAAGAAATGTTATTCAGTAAAAGATAAGGCTTGTTATTCAGTCAGGTAGTTAAGACAAATAATTAGCGTCAGAGCCCCCATGAAAAAAAATCTCTTCGTATCAACACTTTTGCAATTAGGGACATTGATTGATGGGGTTGATTCGATTGTTTATTTGTAAAGCATATTGAGACTCCTTTCCGCTTGGTTCACACGCGCGTAAACAACTTTTTATTTATGGTTTCAAACAACGACTTCGGTGGCGGCTCCGCTGGTGAAGAGCGCGTGGACAATGGAGTCATAAATCCACCAGGCCCTCGATCGACAGCGTCGCCACCTCCAGCCGTCAGTCAGCTGTCGGAGTTTGCAATTGTTCGGCTCGCTCGTGACTCGCGAAACAATAGCTCACGGATGCCCCCACCTACGTGTCACTCCGCGATGTTTGCCGTTGAGTGGTAAGACAGCCGCCGTGGTACAAAGTGCGCGCGACACCTCTGGGGAAATGTCAACACACGTGCACACACACACACAAAGGTAAAGATCCCCTTGTAGCCTTCACAGACTGTTGGGGCAAGTGCTGTTAGCGAGCACCTATGAAGGTCGGCACGGCACACGAGGGGGGTGGGTGGCCAGCACCACGCCCGACCGCCTTTGTCTCCCCAGTGGCGATGTTTTACGCACAGCACCAGTTACTCAATTGAGACCGAGTCGACCCAGGGGAGGCCCAGGAACCGCTTCAGATAATCGTCACCGGTGTTGGCCGTGAGCGGGAATCGACCCCGGCTCGTCCGGGTTGGTCACGCAACGCCCTAACCACTGCGCCACCGCTCCCCACAACACACACGCGCACGCACGCGCGCGCGCGCTGGCTCACACCCGGCGTGTGACTCAACGTCGAAGGGAAGGTGGCCGAGGGCTTCGCTGGTTCTCGCTTTGAAGAGGAATAACAAACAACTGTCTGCAAGTCCTCGCTCAAGCCCCTTGCGCGTGGCGCTGCGTCGGTTTGGTCGCAAGGTCCCCGTGCAGATTTCGTGCCCCTTGTGACGGAAGCAGCCACCACGTGCTGGAGGAGGAGGAGAGAAAGTTGGCTGTGATTGAGGGAGACCCGCGAGCTAACTCGACCCCACAGATCGGCGGAGTTGTGGCTGCGGCGAGCGAGCGAGCGAACGAGCGCTGACCGACTCAAGGAATTCTATTGAAGAGGTAACCCAGTGTAAGATCAAACATGGTGGTCCAGATGTATTGTGACACCCCCCCCCCCCCCCATTTAATTCTCTAAATCTGAAAATGTTTTTTGTAGTAATGCTTTTTTTTTGCATAAAAAACTGAAATGAATATGTAAAGGAACAACAAATGTTATGGGGTTAATTAATCGGGGGGGTCACAAGACGTCTAGGCCACGCTGTGTAGCCCTGTGTTTCGCGTGTGTGTGTGTGTGTCACCTTGTTGCTAACGAGAGCGAGGTGTGATCTAAAGTTGAGCGTTTGCTGGCTACTGATACGAAATGCCTCGCTGGGTTCTTCGTCATGAAGCTGGAGAGATGGCTGAACTTCGTACAAAAAACAAAACACGGTTATGCTTACTCTTTGGTTGTTTTGTTCCACCTGAAGACGGGGGCTTGTGTTGCCTCCGAAACGCCGTGATTTTATTTATTTGTTTCCTTATTAAATCCTTTATATTAAGTTCACTTGCTTGCTTGCTTGCGCGCTTACGACCGTGCAAATCTTTCGGTCGTTTTTTAACCCACTTCCCGTGATCCAATCGAGCTGACATTTTCCACACAGACTCGTTGTGCGTGACAATTAATGTTCGTGAAATTTTTTTCCAAAATTTTACACTTTTTAGGACAAAAATATTATATTTAATTACCAATTGCTTAATGGTGCAATGCAATCATCTGACCCATAGGTGGCAGCCATCTCAAGCCAGAGGACGAGGGGACTCTAGCCGCCACGCATATAAAGGATTTATAGTGAAAAACTTTGTTTTTACGGGTTATACTTGTTTAACCTACGTGATTTTAACGAAAAAACCAAAGAGTATTTATCCTTGCAGTCACGAAAGCTTGAAATCTAGAACGGTTATGCTTCTTCGTTATCGCCAATGTCCTCAATGGGTTTCAGTTGAGTATAACTGCACGCATCCCGCCTCTCGCCAGATCTCCGAAAGCTAAGCGGGTTTCAGCCTGCATGGATACCGCTAGAATGGGGGTCCGCGTGCGTTGTGGGCTTGTACTGCGATGTGTCCGGGAGATGCAACTGCGCCAATGGATCCTTAAATCTATCTGTGCGGACCTCGGAGTGCTACCGTGGTGGGTTTTCTCTGGGTCGCGTTTGCGTTTTGCGCTGACGAGTCAAACTCTACATTTTAATTGAACTGTCCAAATGTCTCAACGCAGGGCCCTCCTGGAAACAATAAACTGGGCAGGTAAGGATCACTGTTAATTATTATTAACATTGTCAAAAAACTAAAATCAAGTAACCTCCATGACTAACAAGGGGAAAATTAAACCTTCATCCAGCCGTGGCTAGAAAGGAGCTGTTGCATTACGCATCACGAAATTGACGCATTTACATCGACTGCTTCTAGTACGATTGGTATCTGAAGCCCGTATCGCGTCAGGCGCAATCTACACGGGCCCTGCACTAGCGCTATCGAAGGTCACTGCGAGTTCCACGTGGGACGTCAGGGCATTAAGGTGAATGTGGTCAGCTGTGACGTACTCTGGCATTAGTCCAGATTGCCCCTGAAACGAAGTTAAACAGGAATAAAGCGTAGGGGGCTGCATCGTTGTAAACATACGGAGACCCCACCCCCATCCGCCTCCCCTCACCAAAAAAAACACTCTGTATTGTTTATATATATAACAGCTTTGAACGGTCAGCGAAGAGCAACCGTTAGAGACTTGAATTTTGAAGTGCTTTAGCCATCCATTTAATTGCTTTCTATGAGAGTTGGTGAATTGCAGATAAACTCGCCCACCCACTCGTCCACCCACCGCCTTCACCTGCATATATTTGAGGCTTTAAGAAATTCTACGCTTTGCTGTTCGTATCCACGATCGCATACAAGAGGGAGAGCGAGAGCCAGATATTTTCCATTCGTGCAACAGGCATCTGCCTCTGCCGTTGTTTGTGTTGATCAAATTTAAAGCAAGGGTTCGGCACAAATGTCGCAACATATTTTTTTTGTATAAATATATTCGTACCACCAACTCGGTTTACACTCATCCACAAACCCACATCTCGGCAAAAACGGCAGCGAATTACCACAACGGTCGGTTTAATTTTTGATTTAAAGCTTTCGTGACCGCAGGGATTCATCTTCTTGGTTCTTTCGGTAAAGTCACGTAGAAGGGAAATAATAAAATAATAAAAATTAAACACAATAAAATACAATTCTCACGACGTTTCGGCCACAACTTTACCGAAAGAACCAAGAAAACGGTCGGTTTGCCAAATTATCGTTGGCGATTTTACATTTCACAAGTGATCGTGACGCGTTCTTTATCGCGGTAGCCGCCACCGGGGTTGACCCCGTGACCTTAAATACATTTCACAGTCGAGTGACTACAGGGCCCGTTCCATTCCTGACTCAAATGTTTCAGTTCGTAGGCGCGCGCAATGAGTCCGCGAGAGCTGCGTGGCTGTAAAACCACAGCAGTTGCGTGAGCTCAGCCTCACGGTGCTGGCAGCAGCATCCGTTTGAGATTTCTTGGAAGAGAAAAAAAACAACGGTGAGTCATTGTAAACAAAATTTAAATCAAAAGTGATTATATATTTATTTTTAACAAATCACCGATTGTTGGTGGGGTTTTGTTATTTCTTGCAATGAATTCCAGTGGGTTTCTCTTTTGGTTTGTTCTCCAGTTCTGAGAATTCACCACACAGGAGCTAACTTGCGAGCCCTACATGGACGACACCGATATCATTTAGCGCAAGGCAATTGCAACGGGATACGGTCGGTCGCGAGATAGCGCCGCGCTCGTTTTTCCGGCGCTTTATCTCGAGAGCGACGCTAACTGAGTAACGGAGCAGCAATTTTGCGGCTGCGTCAAACGCAGGCACCTCCCCCCCCCCCCCCCCCCCCACCGCTTTGCCGGTTATCCCAAATGTTCCGCGTCTGTTTCACTGCGATGATTCCATCAACGCGTTTGTTTGCAGTACTTTGCCCCCTATCGTCATCATCATCATCATTATTATTTCCCTTCTGGACGATGGGCAGTTGAAACGGAAGAAAGCGACCGTCGGGTGTGAAACTTAAGGACGACCCGACGCCGAAGCCTGCGCTGTTGCATTCCGTCGCGATGAGCGGAGTCGATGTCGCGAACGAGAGCCTCGCCGCTCTCCACAACGGCACCGCGATCAAGAACTTCGCCTCCGAGCGGTGTCCCGCGGCGTTCACGAACCCCGCGGCTCTCACCGCCGTCCCCGTCATGTACGGGCTCATATTCGTGGCGGGCCTCGTGGGCAACACCATGGTGGTGGCGGTCGTGCTCAAATATCTGAAGCTCAGGAACGTCGCCAACGTGTACATCGTGAACCTGGCTACGGCCGACCTCGTGTTCGTGACCACCCTGCCTCTCTGGGCCGCCTCCGTGGCGCGCGGCTACGACTGGCCCTTCGGCGGCTTCCTCTGCAGGGTGTCGGCCACCGTCGTCAGCGTCAACATGTACGCCAGCATCCTGTTGCTCGCCTGCATGAGCGTCGACCGCTACCTGGCCATCGTGCGCCCGCTGCAGTCGCGCGGCAGACGCACGCGTAGGCGCGCCCGCGTGGCCTGCGTCCTCGTGTGGGTCACGGCGGTGCTCCTCAGCGTGCCCGTGGCCGTCTTCAGGGTGACCTTCATTCCACGGAGGAAGAACGGTGTGCGCACTGCGCTACCCAAGCGCGCGCACCTGGTTCCTGGCGATGAACGTCACCCGCAACGTGGCCGGCTTCCTCGTGCCCTTCCTCGTCATCGTCACCTGCTACAGCCTCATCGGCAGGACGCTGCTGCGTCGCGGCGGCGACGTCGTCAGGCGGGACAAGGTGCTGCCCGCAGTGCTGGCGGTGGTGTTGGCCTTCCTGCTCTGCTGGTTGCCCTACCACGTGCTCACGCTGCTGGACACGCTCGTTCGCCTGCGCGTGCTGCGGGGATGCGGCGTCACTGCGGCCGTCGACGCAGCTATGCCGGTCGCGGTGGTCGTAGCTTACACCAACAGCTGCCTCAACCCACTGCTCTACAGCTTCGTGGGCAAGGGCTTCCGGCAGGGCTTCGGTCGGTTACTGCGGCTCAGCGCCTACGTGCCTCGGCCGCTCGCCAGCTCGTTCACTCGCTCGAGCTCGCTGCGCTCACGCGTTGTCGAGATGGAGAGTCTTCGCTGAAGAGCGCAGCCTGCCCAGGCCGGCAGGGACGTGGAGGCCGTCGTGAGACTCGAGGAGGGAGGGAGGGATGGCGCTCGTGCCACACTGGTATGGTTTTTTTTTCATTTCCGAAGAAACGTCCACCCCGAGGGGAAATTAAATTAAAGTGATTTTCGAGATGTGGATGTGTTCGCCAATGGATCGGCGGGAGCGGCGGTGCCATGCGCCGGTGTAGGCTCATTATTAATTCCAACCCAGCGAGGCCCGGTATCAATTTCAGTCGTTGTTTGTGAATTGGTGTGCGCTTTTTTTAATGTGTGTTTACGGCAATCGAATTGCTATTCAAGGAGGATGACGATCGCTTGTGTTGTGATCGAAACGTCGTAGTTTTTTGTTATTTTCTTTGAACCATCTACGCGACTTTACCGAAAGACCCAAGAATATGAATTCCTGCAGTCACGAAAGCTTTATGTCAAGATTTAATCGAATTGCTGTTTGCAATCGCAGAATTGAAACGACGCAGTTAAACAAAATTATAACTGAATACTTTTGTAAACATTTTTGTTAGATAGAATTGCGTTTGCAGTTACGTATAAGCACAGTGCTTTTCTCTGTTCTACATAAGGGACATTGCCCTAAACGCCCGTCAAATGTAATATTTTGTAATCGAATTGGCAGTGTTCCTCACAGAGCAGGTGCTTTTTATTTATTTAACATTTGCTCGTCGGGTTTTCTTTTGAAGATAACCGTTTCATGTAGACACCTTCTTTTCTATGGCTGCATCTGTGCCGTGTCAATATTTCCCCACCTCCCCCCCCCCGTCTTTATTGAAACGTGCCCGGAATGCGATCGGATCGCGTTACCTGGGCGAATACACTGACAGAAGGCATCGAGCTTGTTTTCTTATTGGCGCACCCTGTCACACACTCACACGCACACGACAGCGAACTCTTGATCTGATGTTAGAAGGGTCAAAACACAGTGCATTTGAAACATCATCACGATCCATGGGCAGATAGCCCGTTGTTGTCCACTGCACATTTAGTCATTTGTTTACACTTTCCTCTCTATCTTGTGCCAATCTGCTCAAGATGTGGCCACGTTTCGATTTAAAGCTTTCGTGACTGCAGGGATTCATCTTATTGGTTCTTTCGGTAAAGTCACGTAGAAGGGAAGTAATAAAATAATAAAAATAAAACATAATAAAATAATTCTCACGACGTTTCGGCCACAACGCAAGCAGCCGTCCTCAGGTGAAAACCAGGTCCGTCGAGGCGACGGACCTCATTCAGACTCTGTCGCCTCGACGGACCTGGTTTTCACCTGAGGACGGCTGCTTGCGTTGTGGCCGAAACGTCGTGAGAATTATTTTATTGTGTTTTAATTTTATTATTTTATTACTTCCCTTCTACGTGACTTTACCGAAAGAACCAAGAAGATAGTGGCCACGTATTCTTGGTTCTTTCGGTAAAGTCACGTAGAAGGGAAATAATAAAATAATACAATTAAACATTCGCGGTGGTTTGGCTGCTGCAGCTCCTTACGATTAAACATTCCCTCCCTTTATTACTGCTAATCCTACTTCCTCCCTTTATCACTGCTAATCCTACATAATACACGAGCATAATATGACTTTGAGACCCCCCCCCCCCCACCACCTACACATTCCACATATAGTGACTAATCCCTTATCTGCATTTTCATCAATATGCTTAATTTCAGTGTTGATATGTAAACTCCTTTGTCAAGGCGCTCTTCTCCCCCCGACCCAGATTAAATATACGCTGCCAAGCTTGGCGGTGTTCATTGGGACGCTGTCTTTCCGGCAGCTCTGTTTCTTCACCTGAGGACGGCTGCTTGTGTTGTGGCCAAAACGTCGTGAGAATTTTTATTTTATTATGTTTTATTATTGTTATTTTATTATTTCCCTTCTACGTGACTTTACCGAAAGAACCAAGAAGATGAATCCCTGCAGTCACGAAAGCTTTAAATCGAGATAGTGGCCACATCTTTCTGGCACCAATCTCTTGTGATGTCGTAATCGTCAAGCCATTATTCTCTGTTAGCTCTTCTTCCCTTTCCGGTTCCTTCCTCTTTTCCGAACAATACACTTTTAATTGTCCTGTTATCCATCCTACATACGTGTCTAAATAGTATCAGCTTCCTTTTTACCACTTCCCTGCATCATCATAAGGTGGTCTTCTTCTAGGTGCAACCTTTTTCTTACTTCCACGTTGGCCACTCTTCGGGTCCAGTTGAGATGCAGTACCCTTCTGTGACAATACGTTTTGGATGCCAATATTTGCAAATCATCACCAATTAATTCAAACTTCACAGATGATTTGACATCGTTTCACACGTTCCATTGTCTCTCGAACATTCTATGAGCCGAGAGGCACATTCGCAAATATTTGTCTAAGTCGTAAATAATGTTGTTGTTGTTGTTTTTGACACGTGCAATATGATGCACGTATTGTATGGGAATCTTTTAATTCACCAATACTGTATCAACATACATTCCTCATGCATACCAAATAAAGTGTTGCATACTACACACCCACCAACGGTTTGATGAAATCTCATGACTTACGATCGCGATTTAATTTAAGATTCCATTCCTTTTTTCGTATCGTTTGTATTGTTTATATATTTATATATTTTTAAAATAAAATCACCTCTGAATAGTTTTGTTTCCTCTCAACCTAAATGTTACATTCACATAACACATCCCTGCGGAGGGAGCTGGTAGGAACGTTGGGTTGCTCGGTCAATGGCCAGGGTCAACGGTGGCGTGGTGTATTCTGCAAATATGCCCGACTGTGAGGGCGGGCACAAGCCGGCGTGAGTAGGTTAAACGTTGAGTTTTATAAGGGCACCACGGGGTGACCAGCCCCTCCCCACCCAGCCCCACCCCTCTCCCAGCCCCACCCTCCCCACCCAGCTTCTCCCCACCCTCCCCACCCAGCCCCTCCCCACCCAGCCCCTCCCCACCCTCCCCACCCAGCCCCTCCCCACCCTCCCCTCCCCACCCAGCTCCTCCCTTCCCACCAGCCCCTCCCTGCACGACGGACACAATAATCCCCTGTGGGCTGGTGTAACCAGGACGTTCCTACCAGTATAATTCCTGTCAGCACCAGGACGCCAAAGGCCTTTCGCCCTCACTTATATCTCTCACGCCACCATAGCCATGAGCGCTGCAGACGGAGTGGTGCAGCTTTCATTGCACGGTTCATCATAACGAGCGCGGCTCAGACGGACTGTGGGACGATTTGATTTGCTGGGCTCCACGTGGCCGCGGGTTGCTTGATATGAACGTGTGGGCCGCGTTTGGCCTATGGGTCATCGGTCCATGACCCGTGCCTTAGTCCGTAGTTCATACGGGGAGATGTGATGATAAATTGCGTGTCATTGAATGATTTTTTTTTCATCTTGGTTCAAAATAAATACCTTGAAGAGTGAAAGAGGCATTGTGTGCATTCTTTTGAAATTGTACAACTTTGTCACGTTTCCATTAAGTTTCCATTGAGTTAAGCTGGTGGAGGAAATAACTGTTTGACGTGAACAGGCTGCGGGATTACATTTTGTCGAAACTAAACGCATCTCCTTTTGCAGATTCACCTCAATGACAACACCGTAGAGAAAACGTTGCAAGAAATTTGGCCCAAAATTGTATGAAAAATAAATATTTACCAGTACGCGATGTGGGCTCAACAATGTACGATAACGATCGGTAACAGTGTCGTTTCCAGAGGAAATTGGATAAAATACGGATATTGAGGTACATTCCAATTCCGACACACACCAAGTGGTAAGTTTGAATATTCTCTAAAAACAATAACACAAGCCATGATGCTCTTTATTTGCCTAGTGATGCTTCGCCGAGTCTCAATTTTCATTTTTTTCAGCAACGTCCTGGATTGTAATGTTTGGCCAATTCCTCGAACGATCTTTTTGCATGTGGGGTAAACCTGGAGTAACAACACATACGAGGGGTGACAATTCAAATTCTCCACAGAAGGAGGTTCGCAACCTACTTGCTGCACTGCCGTCTCCTGCCAGGCTACGGGGTGACCACAGGTCTGCGTGAACCACCAACCCTCACCTTAAAAAGGCCCCAGGTGCAGACGTCTGCCACCACCACGCCGATTATCACGGTTGGCTACGTACGGCGCGAAAGAAGTTCAACGTACAAACACATACATACGTGAGGCCCGTGACCCTTGGCTATTACGGCCGCCGTCGCCACCACTGAGTTTACATTCCAGGCTGACTGCTGATGGTAGCGGCCACCTTCCACGGCGTCTGCCGACCTCCCCCTGGGTGTTTATTCGGAAGCCACCCCACGTCCTATGATCACTGTTTCATTGCTTTTATGGCTTTATTTTGGTGATTTTTGAAAAGTTTTTCGGTTTGGCCATGTTTGTTTGTTGTAGTACAGAGTTAGACTGATGGCCTTAATCTAAGTTGTCTTGTGGTTGTTGTTTGACTTGCACCCCACTGGGATTTTTGCACACAGTGTTGGTGTACGGTGCTTTTTCTGCAATATTTTGCTGTCTTTCCTTGCATTTTCTGTTTGCACATAGTCACTTTAAGATGTTTTCTTGTTCATGTTTTTTTTTTTGCGGTTGCACCCGATTCAAGAGCCGAATGGCTCACAGGGCTGTACCAAATAAATGAAACTTGAAACGTCCTGGTGCCGGCCCTCGCCGTCCAGGAGTCAAGCCCCGTTACGATGCAACATCAAAGTCAATAGCGACTGGCTGCTCAAACGTAAGCATCGAGGGCGACGGTCAGAATCTCCACTTCGTAGTACCGGGCCGGCGGTGGGAATTCCAACATTTCCATCACGGCAGGAGCGAGTTTATCCGCGAGGCAGCCTCTGTTGACTACCCCGCGGAGTGGAACAAGTTTGGTTTCATTTTTCTAGCCGGGGAGCAGCAGGGTTATGAACTCGCGACCTCTCCAACTGTGAAGCAGCTAACTCGACTGCTGAGCCACCCGGCTGGATTCCAGTTCCTGCCAAAAATCCATTCCGTACGAGCGCTCCATAATGTTACTCGATGGCAGAGGTCGCAACCGGGTACCCGATACCCGTACCCTACCCGATACCCGGCTACCCGTACCTGGCCGGGTATC